AACGTAAACGTAAACGTAACGTAACGTAACGTAGTAGTACGTATACGTACGTACTAACTAACGTAACGTAACGTACGTACGTACGTACGTACTACTACTACTCTCTCTCTCTCTCTCTCTCTCTCTCTCTCTCTCTCTCTCTCTCTCTCTCTCTCTCTCGTGCACACACACACACCATCTGTCATTTCATTAAATGGCGATGTATGGTTTCCTGTAATTTAGATTATCGATCTAATATATTTCCGTTATATTCAAAAGAAATAGTGTCTATTTTCTTTTATGATTGCATAATTTTCTTTTAAATCTCACCTGAAAGAGGGGATGAAACTTCCCAGAGCAAGCCTTCACAACTTCCTGTCCAACAATACCACCAAACATAGCCGCCATGGGGTTCAGAACTGCCCTAGAACCATTCACGAAATGCCTTAAAACATTCTCATCAATCTTCTCCAGTTTCCCATCACCAGAGTTCTCATTGATATCCACTGCCAAATCCAGTAGCTTCCGAACATCCACCTCCGATCCAGCAACAGGGAAGCGCCCTGACTTGGAGATGAAATCATCAAGAGCTTGAAATGCCAAGTGAAGCAGAGGCGGCCTGTCAAATTTTGCGAAGTCACTTAGTAGGAAGTCACCAGGATCTTTGAGGGCTTCACTCAACGGTTTGAAGTTTAAAACTTTGGGTTGCTTCACCTGTGTCACTATCCCGCCTCTCTCATAAGCCCCATAGTTGGTAGTGTCTTCTTCAAGAAAAAATGAGTATGGCCTTGCATTCTTAACCCTCCGGGGCTTCCCATCATTTAGCTCTGTCATACCTTTTACTTCAGAAAATACAACCAGATCACCATCCTGAAACTCGAGCCGTTCATCATCAACGCATGACACAAGAGCAGGGTTGTCATTGCTTATAGATGCAATTATACCAGTGTGAGGATCCTCTCCATCCACATCCAATACAGTGAATGCTGGACCGAAGTCACAAAATACACTCCCAAACAAGCCTCGGACCTCAGCTTTAATGAAGGGAATTGATGGTTGGTGTTGATGACAGTAATCGTTGAATTCTACGGCCCTTTCAAGGCTTATATCCGTAAAAACAACTGCCTGCATTAAAAACAAGAATATTATTAGATCGAATTCCTTGATCATCTTTTCAATAATGGAATGACGTTAACAAAAAAAAAGGGGGAAGGACATTGGGACAAGAGTTGCAATTCCTTAATTTTCTCATTATAATGTCATGACATTTAGAAGGGAGGAGGAAAGACCCAACCAAGTTGCTTGGACCCGGTAGGTAACAGTTCCCATTGAAAATCCTAGGGAACCAGCAAATTCTCACCGGTTCCTAAGTTTATGGAATTATCTTTTATAGGCTAGTTCGAGTCAGAACTGCTAACTCGTGCTCAGGCCGGCGCAGGTCCATACCTGAGTCCGAGTTTTTAACCATAGATAAGAATATAACACAGAATAAATGCTTGCAGAACAAACAAAAATCAAATTCAAGAATAGGGGGAGTAAAATAACATTCAGAGATTGGTCACAGAAGGCCATACATTAAAAACACTACACTACCGACTATCTTGGCATATAAATACCCTCGAGGGCTAACAAACTTCAGTGACTACTTAAGTTTTTTCAGCTTCAATAATTAAACAGGACAAGTGCACAGAGAAAGTAATTGAAGATCACAACTTGTACCTATGAGACCATCAAAATAGGAGAAGATCATGAAGACAGGAAACGAGCTTCATCTCAAGGTTTAAAAAAAAAAAAAAAAATCATTTCATGAGGTTAGAATTCAATTTTTAATCCAGATTTAAATCTTAGAAGCAAGGTTTCAAAACGCAGCCGAGGCCCTGGGACTTGGCCCTTGTCCAAGCCAAATACTTAGGCGAGTAGGAGTGAACGCGACTGAGTTAAGGAAAATCATAAAAATCTAAACATTATCAAACAAAATGAGAAAATGTGTTTTTTACTACTAATACAAATCAGGTAACAGCTTTAAAAAATAATAATAATAATAGAAAACAAAAATAAAGAAAAAAAGGAAAAAAGAGAATAAATAAAAAATCTGCAAATAAATATACAGATTCCTTTTAAAAAAAGTATTGTGGAGGAACTAGCATGTGAATTGATCAAGAACACCAAGATGGTCCAAGTATCTGACTGCATCAAAGATCGGCAATCAAAATAGAAGAAAATAAAGCTTTCTGAAATTGGAAAAAAGAAATCCCAATTTTTTTGATCTTCAAAAAGTAATATTAAAAAATGCGAATTCGGGCACCTAGGCGTTTTGGGTGCCTGGCCACCTAGGCGCCAGCCCAAAGACAGGGCGCCCTCACCAAACACACCCCCCCCCCCCCCCCAAACAAAAAAAACAAGGGAGTTCTTAGGGCATGGTTTTAAGTCTTTGGGAGTTTTTAGGGCAAATTTTAGAGCCCCAAACTCCTCGTGAAATAGACGAAAATGTAATAGTACAATCACATAACAGATTTATGGATACAAGTCTCAAAGAGTTTTTGTAACTTGTAAGACATTAAAATGCTTGAAATCCCAAACATCATTGTTGGAAAGAAACTAGAAGTCTAGACTAGAAACAATACACAAAGTCAACAAGGCAAAATTAGAAAAAAAATCCATCAAGTCATCAACCAAACATGTAAACATATCGTAAAAGAAAAAAAAAAGGTAAAAGAAAAAACACATAATTCGCAACATAATATGTTGTAGCAAAATAAAATCAAAACCCTCTTTCAAATATGATAATACTTTAAAAATATCAAAATCAAATTGATGTCGGTGCAAACTTCGTCTATTGAGTCGCCAAAAGTCCTCAAAATCAACTACTAGAAGCTCTAAATCCGCCCACGAACCATTGCCTTTGTCTTGGGACAAAATCGCAAAATCAAAACTCCATCGATCTTTTGATAAATCACAAAAGAGTAGCCTTTTGGGGAATTTTTCTCACCCTAACAGCCACGTTTTTTTTTTGGGGGTCTAGAATACCCCCCAAATTTCCATCTTTTTTAGGGGAGAAAATAACATTTTTTTGACAGCCGCTGGGGGTTTTTTTGCCCTTCTGCAGATTGTCATTGGGCGACACCCAGACTGTAGCGCCTAGGTGGGCACCCGGAGATAGGCCGCATAATTCCACCGCTAGATAGCGCCTAGGCATTTTTTCAAATTTTCGCCTAGGCGATTGGGCGGCTGAATTTTCAAACATTGTCAAAAAGCAAGAAATATAATTTTTTGTCGGAAATATGCTTCTAGTCCGTAGATCTAGTGATTTTGTAGCTAAATCTGAAACTTTGGCTCAATATGACTCAACCTAGGGCTTCTTTGTAAAAATTGGGGGCAAAAGCCGCCCCAACCATTCCTCTTTATTTTTAATCATAGCGCACAAGACTCGAGCAAGTATTGTACAGACTCACCCATGTAATGTAGAACGTGGGTGAATCATTCCCGAGTACTGTAGAACACGGGTGAGTCATGCCAGAGTTCTAACATACTCAGGCAAGTTTGTACACTACTGGCCTGAGTACTGTATGTTGTACACTAGCGGCATGAGTACTGTATGCTTCCCATGTACCCAAGTGGGTAAATGGAAACTCGCCTCGGACACTAGCTGAGGCCAAGGAACTCGGCCAAGTCCAAATCAACTTGGCATAGTTTTCGAACATTGAGTAACGACAAATGTCACACTTTCTAACTTCCAAGAAAATTGGAGTTGTCTTCTTTCGCTTTGTCCCCCCCTCCTAATTCTTATAGGGCCAATTGGAACCCTTCCCCCCTTGGCTTTCTTAAAGTAAACTCTAGTGGGTCCTCCCTTGGAAATCATGGTCCCTCAGGTTTTGAAGGTATGCTGGCAAACTTCGAAAGAGTACTTCTTTCGTTCTCAGGTCACCTAGAAACCTCAGATTCCACCACTACAGAAGCCATTGCATTACTTGAAGGCCTCAATAGAGCTTCTCTAATAGCTCACCAATTTGCTGGAATAATAGTAGAGGCCGACTCAAGCAACACAATTCTCTGGGCCTCAAACCTTAGCCAGCCTCATTGCGCCTCGTATCTATTTTTTATTAGATTGCTTTCATTTGCAGATCCCTACCACCACTCTCCTTCAAACATATACGCCAAGAAGCTAATTCAACTGCTAATAGGCTCCCTAAGGATGCAGCTCTTTTAGCTCCAGGTTCAAGCACCATATTCTCTTTGATTCCTCCCATCACCCCTCCTCCCTTGTTTAAAAAAAAGGAAAAAGGAAAAAAGTGAGAAAAAGAAAAGAAAAAAAAAAATTTCATATTTTTACAGCCTTTTACTCACCTTCTATCTCTCTCTTTTTTTTGTTTATCTTATCCTCTCTCACCCTCCTTCAGCTCCTCATTTCTTCTCGTCACTCCCTTTTCTCCTAATTCGCTTTCTCTCTCTTCCCCTGACTCACTTTCTTTCTTCTTTCCTTTGTCTCAACCTTCTCTCACCCCATTCTCTTTTGCATCTTTCTCTTTCCTATACCTATGCTACCTGTCCTCTTATTCCCTACTTTTTTCTTCCCATTTCTTTCTCTTCTTCTCGCCCCATCCCTCTCAGGTAGCATTCAGGTTTCAACCTCCTTTTATTCTACAACTTCTTTCCACTCTCTCCCAATTCACAGGCTGGTCATCCGGAAGCACAACCAAGGAGCACGCCCAAAACCAAGTCTACAGGCACATAGCCCCAAGGTTTTTCGACTTGGGAGTTCTTTGCAGGGCCTTTCATCTCGCCAATATTTGGTTCACAGGCATTAAGCCCCAAGGCTCTCTTCTCACTCTTTTCTCTCACCCTCTCTCCTCTCTAGCATGTCCCCTTAACCCTTCTCATTCTTCCCTCCCCTCTTCTCTTCTTTATCTTCCTACCTCAAATCATTTCTTTAGCCCGTCTCGTCTCACTTGTGGCAGGTTGATTTCACTAGTTTGACTTTCTTCTCCACTGTTGAAAGCACCCCCTTTCCTTTTCCCCTGTCACGGCCCCAGTTTTGGGTTAAGTCATTTTGTTTATGTATATAATTTTTCTATATCTCCTTTGTACTCTGAGCACCCACTTGTGGGCTGCCTATAAAATAATTTGGTCTTTTTGCACTTTTTCTAGAATTATATAAAGTTAACCTTTCTATATTCTTAGCCTAATGACATGTTTTTGGGTGAGACTTCGCAGTGAACCTTCGCACAAACAAAGATGTGCTCAAAACAAAGCTCCCCAAGAATCAACTCTCTTTTCTTTTCTTTTAAGCAAGTCAGGCACTTGAACACTAAAAGAATATTCATTCAAACAAAATGATGTTGGACCGTGGAGGCTTGGCTCCTACAAAACACGAGGAGTGAGTTAAAAAGAATGGGTTTACGATATGTATGGAAGTACTATTTAGGTTAAAATTCAAGAGTTTTAAAGGGCTTGGTCCTCACACAATGTTCAAAAAGGTGCCCGCCTTGGCTCCTTGGGGGGCCACGGCCCTAAGAGCATTGCCTATAGGTAGGCGCACCCCCTAGGGCAGAGGTGCCTCTAGGCACCCGCCTTGCCAGCCTAGAGTAGCTATAGCAGCTATTATATTTCTATATTTTTGTTATTATTGCACTGTTGTACTATAGTGCTATTTATATATTAGAGTACTATAGTAAATTAGTAATCTATTATAGTGCTACAGTACTATTCTTTACTATATTTTATAGAGCAAGAGAGAGCAAGGGTAGATGAAGGGTTTCTACTCTCTCCCTTTCTCTCTATTATATTATAGTACCAATGCATAGTTCTAGTATTATTTTATAAAATAGTATACAGAGGGGGGTAGATGATGGGTCTCTACTCTCTCCTTGTCTCTAACTTCCCACTTGTTTTATATTATACATAGTATATGGTACATATATGTAGTAATACTTCCAGCCCTTGTATATATATAAAAATATTTATGTTGTCAAATGCTTTCCCCCCACCCCGCCCATTGGGGCTGGGTTTTCCTCTTTCTGACTGAGGCGCCTGCCTAGGTAGGGACACCCCTGCATTTTTTAACATTGCCCACAAATGTTAGGACAATAGGGTTCTAGGCTTAATGAAGCTTTCCTAATAGCCAGAATTGGATAACATGACGTCTAGATGAAGTAGAACTAGACGAACTAGAATTAGTGGAAGGGTTTGGTTGGCTTTTGGTAAGGTTTAGGATAACTTTAGGCATATTTATTAGATGTGACCAAGCCACCTAGGCCTTGCTATATGCACCTGCACAGGAGGAGGATAGCATGCAAATGAGCGCATCACACCATTTCAGCACCCGCATATGCAGCCCCTGCTTGTGGGCCAGCCTCCCCAAAAAAGAAAACTCAGAGTCCTAAATATTAGCCTTTCTAAAAAGAATTAAATTCAAAAACCAACATCACAAACTTTTTTCTGATTTCAAAGTATTCAACAAACTTCGTGGATTTCTTAGGCAAAACATTTGAGTGGAGTTTGTGCCATGTTTGAAAGATTTCAGGCTAAGATTTATCGAGTAATCAAGAGTTTCAAGTGGCAAGGAGATTACGGCAAGAAACCAAAATTTCTTTCGGTTTTCAATTTGATATCATATCGACACCACAATCCTTTTTTCTAGGAAAGTTTCAATGCCTAAAGTTGTTTTTCCAAACAATGCCTTCAGTTTATTCAAGTAACAAAAATTTCGAATGAAAATACACAGAACTCACTAGCCCTAAAGGTCGTGTTCGTTGTACTCTTTATGGGAAAACTAAGTCCAAGAGCATTTTCTAACAAAAGGAACATCTTGCAGAAATTCCAGGGAATATAAGTGAATGCCTTGAAGCTACCAATGAAAACTAAAGCACGAGGAATTGTTGGATGAGTTTCAAATATTTTATGAGGAAAGTGATAATAATGTTGGATGTGTTTCCTTGGATTACAAAAGAGAGGGTGATAATATTGGGGGCGAAAAATGAGACCTCGCCCAAAGGGCCGATCGATTCATTTTGCACCACAAACCTGAGGTTTTGGTGGGTGATACATGTACACTGCCAAAATAATTTTACCAAGCCAGTATTAATTCAATACTGTTCGTCACTCCTCCTTGAGAGCTTCAAGGTTAAGATTGAGGTAATTGACAATCTGACCCAGGGTGCAAAGGCCTTATATTTCATGAACTCAGTAGCCCCTATTGCGTTCACAATCATGTGTGATGGGGAGGACCCTTTCAATAAATAATTATTTGATCAATTATCCCGTTTGGCCTTTTTTCTTGATGCCTTATGATGAATTAGACCACGCAAATAACGTAGACTACATGTCTGAGTTAGTGGATCAGACTGTTGATGAGGTTGATGGGCATGTGGGTGCCAATTATCACAGATTCACAGACAGTGCTGCCAAATGTTCTGCAGCCAAGTATTTAATGACATTGAAGAGAGAATATTTTTGGAACTCCTTCCAGCACATATCTAGACCAATGTTCAAAAAGTCTCCCCCCCCCCCCTCTTTCCCCCCACCCCGGGACTCAGCTGGTCGCCTAGTTGGGTAAGGGCCCTAGGCAGCCACACCAAAAGGAACCTGCCTTTTGGCCCTAGGCATGTGCTCTTCTCTCCCGGCTTGTTTTTCAGATAGAGAAACAAGTTTGAAAACAGATATTTTGAGATTTGTTGAAGATTGAATAAGTTATCAAACTTTTCAATTTCGCATGAAATAAAAAATCACTCCAGTAATCTGTATGACTCAAGAGGTCATAAAAAAAGAATTTCAGCAACCAAAGCTCACCAACTCGAGTCAAGATGTTTCCGAAGGTTAGTATATTTCAATATGTGGTTCAATGTTTGGTGATGTTTTTAAATGCTGGATTTCTTTTTTTTTCGAATCTAATTTTTTCTTTCGTGTTTCTTAAAGTTAGGTTATGGATTTTTTGGCCCATATTCAAGAGCCGGTTTCGATATGAGATTATGTTAGTTTTAATAGGTATGCAAACTCAATAAATATCCGTAAACTCTAGCACCCTACAAATCTTTCTACCTTATTAGTCCTAAAAATTGTCCTAAGATTGACAAGGGGCAATAATTGTCCTAAACCCAAAATTCTCGCAATTCATCACCTTCTCCATTAAATGGGAGCCCCCATCCTAAGCAACAAAAGCACCAAACATGAAGGGAATCTAGCATCTAAAAATTACCCGAGTCCCAGAAATTCTGCAGTAATTAGAAAAATAGAAAATGCATGTAGACATGCTCAAACTCATCATATAATCTTTCTCCATTATCAGAACATATCTCCTCAACATTAAGCAACCATGACAACGGTAAATGACTCTAAAAATCTATGAAGACCTTGTCCACTTAAGCAATGGATCATCAAGATCAAGCACCATCTTCCACCTCTTCAAGACCACAGCATGCCATCTCCAAAGCCCATAAGACCAACCTACAAGCAACTGTGTTAGAGGCAAGAAATGTAACTCCCACATAGTTACTCTCTAAATTTTTTAATTCTATGTATCTCTATTGCTAATTTAGAGTTGAGACAGGAATACATCCAAATGTTGATACCTCTAAAAACTCCCCAAATTAATTCACCTTTCTAAATCTTTAATCCTCCAAACTTTCCAATCATTTACCCTCATATTACACAGTATCTCCATTCTCAGGTCTCCTCATGATGCTCCGGCACCACCAAGAAGTTGTATGCAGTGAAGCTCAAACGTGGGGGGGAAGTTGTCAGCATGACTTATCATAAACCGTACACAGTCTAAGAATGAACCTTAAATGGTGAGTATGACTTGCATGTTAAGCCTCTTGACAATGTTTCTAAAAGTCAACCAAAATTTCAGCACAAACCATACTCTATCTAAAGGATATATGTGAGTAGTAAATCCATACTCAAAGGCTGAAACCAGGTAATACGACATAATATCAGATACATAGCACAGAATTCAACCCATGTTATTCAACATCTTTTAAAAAAAGAAGTAGCATCCATGACTAGTCATCATGGCATACCAAAAGAAAATAACTAATATATGGCAAAAGAAGACATAGCATTGATCACTCTGAACAAATCAAGATCTAGACGATATATCAGCAAATAAAGAAAAGAAATTGGTAGCAACTCCACTTACAGAACAAACCAATGGATATAGGGATAAAAACTGGATGCATAAACGTGCAGTTCATTCCCAGGTAACAAAATGGCTCACCTGGAAATTGGACAGCTGTTCCTTGGATATTTTCTTAGTCCATGTCGAAACGATGACAGCATTGTTCAGCTCTTGCAGCTTCTGGACACAAGCAAGCGCCCGGTTCTTCCCAACATCATTTTCAGAGAAAATGAAGTTGCTTGATAAATCCCACAATTCCACTGTCCCTTCATCATGCAAGGCGACAGACTTGACACCAGCAAGAATCAAGTTCTTTGCTGCAAAATCCATTCATCCGATAAGCCCAATATATAAAAGGCCACGATTACAACACAAAAGTTCTTTTTAAAAAAAGAAAAATAGATGGAGGACCACAAAACAGAAGTTCCTTGAGAGTCGGTTGCAAAATTTTAATATTTCAACCAGAACCATGATCTCACCGATCAGATAAAAGCCTAAAACAACCTATATGACCATCGGCAACTTCACCAAGCATAGATTAGCAGCCAGTCCAGGAATATCAATAATATTCACCATCAATATGACTCACTTATGGAAAGCTTAAAATTACAAATTTCAAACAAACATGACTATGCTTATGATAAACCATGAATCATAACCAGATCTTGCAAAAATTTATTATCAGAATACGGTCAAAGATAATATCATAATCAAAATCCATTTTTAAGATCAAGTCATCCAAAAAATGGAGAATATCAATCAGACATAAGATACTGACAACTGATTTAGGGGAAAAATAAAAACTAACAAATGACAATAAAGTTCCAAAAATAAACCTACTAAATCGGAAGAGAAGTCCCACAGCGTTTTAGCTGCAAATCCCATCAAAATGCACCCACAGATTGTAGCCAAAATTCATCATATCCATAAGCCAACATGGAGAAACTCAATACACAATTAACCAACAATAGTAAATACAAAACTGAATAGCTGTGCAACCCCAATTAATCACCAAAATCTTTTACAATTCTGGACAAATTCCATATACCAATAATCAGCAATAGTGAATAGAAATTCGAATAGATATGCAGCCCCAATTAGTCTCCAAATATTTTACAATTTCGGACAAATCTGCTCAGAGATCATCATCAGGGACCAAAAAACAAACCAAAGTCCATCCAATCAATAAGAAACCCAACTATTTCTAATACCCAATGAAACTCATGTTATTCTCTACAACTTCAAAAGAAATCCAAATAATCATTGCGAGCAAAATAACTAATAATCCGTCCAATTAATAAGAAAATAACAGATGATAAAGAGCTAAATTAGATTTTAAAGATGACCAATCAAACATCAATGAACCAACCTAGAATGATAACTACCAATCAAATATCAATAACAAATCCCTGCAACCCAATCAATCTCATGATGCTATACCAACTTTTAAAAAAATCTGAAGAAACATCATCAACAGAAAACAATAAAACAAAACAACAGTTCCTCCAATTAATCAGAAAACAACAGATGATCAAGAAGAAATTTAAAAATCAGAACTTACCCACTTCAGCTCCAAGCCCTTGCATACCAGATACAAGGACATTGGCACCAAAGAGCCGACGCATGGTCTCACGACCATAGACAGCCAACTGTCGACTGTGGAGATCCTCATCGATATCAGGGGGGTTCCCATCGTCCAAAGCCATGGCAGGTGGATTAGGGTTCTGGTGATTGTTCTCTGAGGTGATCGCAGAGTCGACGCAGGTCTTCTTCGAGGGGCTTTCTCTCTCTACCTCGCCAACGCCTCTCTTTCTAGGAAGCATATAGTGCAATAAACTGTTCAAAACCCCACTATAACAAGTCATAAACCCTAGAGAGACTATTAAGGCAACAGGTGGTAAGAGGACGAAGAGGACACGGTAATGGCAGTAGAAGGGTTTCGGAAGGGTTTCACTACGAATAAGAAATAAAGAAATGACCTTCAAAAACGATGACAGGTTCAATTTAGTCCCCATTTGATTCCAAATCAAGCTCAGAAGAGAGAGAAGGAAATGAATTCAGAGAGAGAATAAAGCAGTTTAGATAAGAAGAAGAGGAGCTTGGAGAGAGAAAAGGCGTACCTGAGAGACGGTGGCTGGACCTGCAAGTAAAGAAATTCCAAAGTCCAATCGATGGAGAAAAAAGCGACGATCAGAGAGGGGGCTTCACTGTTACTTGTTACAGAGGTTAGCGTTAGGGTTAGGGTTAGGTTTGGGGCGTAGGGCTAAGAAGTATCCCTCGTGGAAATGGCTCCCCCTTTTTCATCTCATACCCAAGAGAGAGATGAAGGAAAGAGATGGACACAGAAAGGCTTAAATGGAGTGAGAAATAAGAATATGAAGAGAGAGATGAGAGAGAAATGAAGAGCGAGAGAGACGAAGGACCTAGTGGTGGGGCACACAGAAAAAGACCTGGACTGTTGATGACCCTAATGTCCTTTACACAAGGAGAGAAAAGATTCTAGATTTGCCCTTCTTTCCCCCTAATAATATTTATAATGTCTTATTACCCCTAAGCTTGTTTCCCGAGAGATGTTTGCTTCAATCGTCGCGCTTTACGAATATACACGTTATATTACCCACGAGGTAAGAGTTTTATAAGGTTGTAATCTATCAAAAACAGGTTATTTTAATGTTGAAAAACCCTTTTATGGATAATTTCAACATCAAGATGTATGAATATAAAAAAAATAAAAAATTTTGAATCCCATAAATAGTACATCTTGCAACCGTCCATTTTCAAGATTTTCATATGTTTATATATCTACTTGATTTTAACCATCTTTTTAGTTTAAAATTTTCTAATTAGATATGAAAATAGATTTGAAGATAATCTTAAGAATGTTTTACAACAAAATTACATGTTATGATAAATTTTGGAGGTGTGCCTTAATTGGATTGTTTAAGGTTGCAACCTTATAGAAACCACACCCACTAATACTTAGATAAGTTTATTAAAAAGGTGCAATTTTACCTTCAAATAGTGGAGAGAAATATGGTTTCAATATTGAAAAGTTTTATAATAGCTTTAAATTATTATTTTATTTTTAATTATAAAATTTAAAGCTTCAAAAGTAGTGTATGAAAACTTTAAAATCTTGAAAATTGGTGGTCCAAAATACATTACAACATGCGCTATTTTCAAAACTTGAAATCTATTTTTTTCTTATGTCCATACATCTAGATATCGAGATGATCAATTTGATGATATTTGGGCATCAAAACAACCTCTTCTAGTAAAAGTTTTGTGGTAGGCTCTAATTTGACCGTTTAGAGCCAAGGATCTGTATAAATTTTTCCCTTATTAAAATACATATAAGAGATATAAGGGCTGATGTATTCAATAAAAAAAAAAAATTATATAACAACGAGGCCTTAAAAAATCATATTAAGGCACAGTACAAAATTTGTAGCTTGTGTTTTACTTTAAAGTTCCATTGTAATCGCTTTTATTAATGATATTTATTACTCTGGTCAAAAAATAACGCACACTGTAAAAAATTCACTAGGACATGTTGTTTCGATGCTCAAACCTCAATTTACATGGATATGAGAAAAAATGGATTTCAAGCTTCGGAGATAGTGCATTTTGTAATGCATTTTCGGATAGTCAATTTTCAAGACTTTTAAGTGTTCATGGATCTGTTCGATCTACACTATTTTTTAAGCTTTAAATTTTATAATTAGATAGGAAAATAAATTTTCAAGCCATCATAAAGATTTATCGTAGTGAAACAACGTCTTTCACACTGTTTGAAGGCATGCCCTATTTTAATTGTTTAAAGACTCAGCTTTATACAAATATAGGGAGTTTATTAATATACTTATAGTTTTGAACTATTTAACAATTTATCTATTTTGGAATTGTTACAATTGATCCTCTTGTGTTTTTTATGGGTATTTTGAAATAAAACCAAAAGATATAAGTAAAGTGTTAAATAGCCAATCTCCCATAGGGAATTTCAAAAAATTTCCAATATTTTATCTATATTTTTTTATAATTTTAAACAGCCATAAAAACACACATGGTCTTCTATAAAAATAGCTACAATAGATGAAATATTGAATATTTCATCTTGATATCATCATCATTTGAGCTACATCTTAACTATTTCGGATTAGATATTAGTATTTGAAATATTTTTCTAAATATTTTATAAATATAGAGTTCATCATATAAATATGAAATCGACCCGATTCCCACCATGACCCAAACCGATAACGTCCACCTGGAACGCAGAGCTAGAACCCATTCAGAATATATTCAAGTTTGATTGAGATAGACTTGACTTGTTGAATCATGCATCCGGGTCCACACCTGGCTCGGGTCGGCAGGATGACACGACCAGAATGCCACCCCTCAAATCATAGCATTAATTTTTTGCTTAAAAAAATATATCATAACATAGATTTAATTAATAAGAGAAATAGCTATTTTAGAGTTTTTACCTAAAATTCTAAGATCTACTTGAGAATTATTAGATGACCATTTTTAAAAAAAAGAAATAGATTTAAATTTTGCGTTTTTAAACACCTAAAAATCTCGATTTATAGAAAAATGGAGTAACAGAGTGCGGCTTTTTCAGGCATATAGTGCCTTCAAACGGTGTTTTAGTTCGTAACTTTGATGCATCCCCCGGATTTTGCCGCATAAAAATTACTCTAAAATGATATTTCAGCCGACATGAAATTTTCTGACAATTTTTAAGCAAAGAAAATTTTGTGAAATTCTCATTGAATATAGTATAACGTTACAAACCGCCACCGCTTTTGCCCTTTTTATCTTAAAAGGAACGCTCTATCTCTCTCTCTCATCAATGTATAAGCTTTCTCTCTCTACGTACCATGCCCCTTTGTACTATAAAAATGTTCTTTAAGTCCAAAAAATTTTCCCTTCCATGCCCTTTTGTATTTTGCATTTGACTTCATGGAACCTTTTAATTTGGTTCGCGTATGATAACCTTAGGCATGATTATACACGAAAGATCTTTTGTTAATTTCATAAGCAGGGTTTTTTTGATACTAAACTCTTAACAAGATTATGAAATTTAGAAAGGAGAATGCTATCGTAAAATTTTACCAAAACTTTTCATGAATCGAGAACACCATGAATTTCAAATGTTATGAAAACAAACGATGTTATATGTCTCAACTCGATTAGGACTGAGCTAGACCCAGCCTGCAGGTCCAATGCATAGGCCCAAAAGGGTGAACCTGCTAAAACCTACCTCAATTACCACCCGTAATTCACAAACATCTCTCTCTCTCTAGGAATACTTCAAAGTTCAAACCGAGTGTGCATGAATTGTTAGGACTGACCGTTCAAAAGTTCAAGTCTTGTTCAATCTTGGGAGGTAAAATGTTGACCAAATTTCAGATATGGAGGGGGAATAAATGTTAAACCCTAAGGTTTCTTTCTCACTCCTATGTATTTGACGTCTCTAAAATGTTTCCTATATCTGGCTCTTTTTTGCTGCTCCTTGAATCTCTAATTTCAACACTCTTTGGATTTATTTTTTCTTGATTTTCTAAGAGCTCTTATGCATACGAAAAGCCATATTTATAATTTCATAAATCAAGCTAGAAGAATGGCAACATTTATTTTCTATTTCAACAATACGAATGTCTCAAACCTTCACCGTGTCTCAAAGTCCAGTAGGCCTGTTGGCGATGTCTTTGCCATTCCTATCCAAAACAAAAATAAGATTTAATTGATTTCAGTGTATTGAATAGGTCAATTTTGACGGGTCAGATTGCTTAAATAAAACTGAACAAACTTTTTTTATATACTTCATATTTTTAAATTATTATTATTATTATTTTTCGTTCTTTTTAAATCCAATCCACTTGTGGGCCAGTTCGATTGTGATAACACTTTTCTCTATTAATAATCTTCACACTCAAGCTAGCACCAATAGAAAACAACACTCATCAAACTACCCATACTTGATGTTTCATTTATTAAGCTCTTCAAACTACCAACAACTTCCAATACCACTTGTCTCATGGTGGAAAAGCATGCCGGATAGTTTCCTTTTCCATAAGAAATATATTGGAATTTTAACAGCCAAGGTTTCTCTCCAGAATTGTTTTGGGTAAATATATCTCTAGAATTTTTACTTCATTCTTCACGTAAGTACGTGTTTTGCAGGATTATGTCCTACACGAGACTGCATGGTTTGTCCATACGATTCACGCGTATTTCAGTAATAATTTTTAATTACATAAAATATGAACCATCTGATGACACAATAAAGCACACCTGCTATGGACAAGGACAAACCCGAACGATATAACATCCCCAAATGAATATATTCCTTTGAGAGAGAGACCAATGAAGTGTAAAGACAGAGAAAGTAAAGATCTTTCCCTCACTTATCAAGTTTCCAATGGCCCTCCAGTTCAGAAGGAAAGGCTATTGCCGCCTCCTCTCCGGCATAGGTCACTTGCTTCTGATGGTTCACAGTGGTCACGAGTGCAGCTGATCTACAAGCCGGAGGCAAACTTCCTTTGTAGGCTTTACACACATAATTTGCTACATTTTGATAGTCCTGAGAGAGAATCACATTAGCCTCTAAAGAATAAAATCTAAGGGTTATTATACAAAGAAAAGGAATACAATCCAATAAAAAGCTACCAAACATGAACTGTTTTTAAGGAGAATGTAAAAGTACAGCCATATAGACTCTTAGTATCAGAGATTTGATTTCTGAGTAAGCTGCGTAGTTTTAGAGCATATGTCGTTTCATTTGACGGTGATGAAGCCAATTGACTATGTGTTTCATAGGCCCAGTAGATTATAGCATACTGACTAATTTAACTATTGATGTATTAAATACAAACAGGATACAGCTACCAACTTTTTGGCCACTTCTCAGATGATTTAGTAAAGAAAAAAAAAAAAATATCTTCATAAGAGAACTGGTTGGGATTCTCAATTTGAATTTTATATATAAGGAAAAGGAACAACCTCGTAAAGTGGTTGTCCATCAACGACCACCCAAGGAACATACTTATGAGGAGGCTGTAGAGCATTAGTTTCTGCCGCATATTGAAGTTCAAGCTGCAACAGGATTGAAAATCAGTACCGAATCGCATTGAAAAATAAAAGAGTGAAGATAATTTATTTCGTAATGGACCTATACAAAAAACTCAATCATAAGGAACAAAAAAAAAAAAAAGCTCAATCATAAGAAACAAAAGCATTTGGCAAGGAATGGTAGCAAATATTTTTATGCAAAGGTCAACACTAAGCAGTTATATCATTATACACTTTGGAGTTGCAGGATCACTGACTAAACTTGCAAGTTAACATCTCAAGACAATTCGTTACTTTTTCTTTTAATATATGTAAATATAATTGCATGAGAAATTAAAAGATCGTAAAGAACAAAGTGTACACCAATTCAATCCAATACAAAATAGGACGGGCATAAGATCCCCACAGTCCGACATCCTCTAGATAAACAAGTTCCACTTGGATAATTTGTTTCTCACCACCTAAATGACAACTGTGTAGTTCTTTTGGTTTGTCATGATAGTATAACCAAAATCTACTTCCTACACCACACATAGGCATCTTAGTGGAGGAATTTCTGGAAACTTGATCTTAACCATACCTCAGATTCGTTTCTTAGTATAGAGAATAAGGCCATCAATATATGCAATCTGCCAGGTCAAGCTCCACTGTCTACCGATTTATGAGAACAGTAATAGTGCTCACTTATTGACTTAGCGATTTGTGTTTGGCCTGAGGGTTTTGTATGATTATAGTTTAGACTAGTGAATAGAAAAATTCATTTTGGGTCAATTTGACACGTCCAACTCAACAGGAATTTGTACAAATATGAGTCATACGATAAAAAACTAGGTTTTGGGCCGTGTTTTTCAGTTTTTAAAATAATTATATCAGAATAAGAATCAATTCCCCTACATAGATTTGGTAACATGCTCGAATCCTGCTGATAACACAATGTCTTTTTGCAATGACTTACCCAACTTTTTCCAAGTTGTCTATTTGATTCAGAGAGTTGACTTACTTTTTGCATTATCCAAATTCAGGACCAAGTTCAAGTTTCTCATTTAGAACATTCATTTTCTCGTTTGGAACATTCATTACAAGATGACTGCATATAGACCACCACTTTGGCCATTTGCTGTCTCATAATGACTGCTTTTTTACCAAATGGACAGAGGAAGAACATTCCTTCATGATGAGTTCCCTAATGAAATAGAAGAAACTTCCTTCATGATGAGTTCCCTATTGAAACATATATGACTCCTCATTCTGCAAACATCCCACTAGACCTTAATTCGGGCTCTCCAAAAGACCCTTATGGACCTAAGTAAGGATTATATGTTTGGTTTGATACATTTCAAGATGTAAACTTTTATAAAGCACTCAAACCACTCCATGCCTACTCGCATAGGGTATTGTTGGATTATCTGTAGATATAGAAGGTCTCCTTAACATCTGGGTGATACTGTGGAGAAATCTCATAGGATGCACTGGTTACAACAGCAATTTCAGATGAAGGATTTTGAAAGCTTGCCACACTTGATACACATCGAGGTCACATGCTCCCTCTGTGCACATATTCTATTCCATCGTTACTAAAGATAGGACCTCATCTTTTCGGCCATTATGATATTTGACAATGCCCTTGAATTGGATATGAAATACTTGTCATACAGATCTGCTTTAGTCTCCCACTCCTCTCAACAATTTACATGTGATAAATAAAAATTTCAAAAATGATTGTGGAGAGTAGAGATCCTCCTCCGCGTGACGCCTTTGCATGACCCTCACGCTCAAGCTAATATTGGAATTGCATATCTAATTAATCTTCACCATGTCTCCACCAAACTGATGCGTAGATTAATCCACATGCCTCATCTTGTTTCAAGGTATTTTCAAAGGAGAAATATTGATGGATAAACATTCTTGCAGTAGATTTGCATTTGCCTTACAATTATGCAATAATGCCCTTTGCCTGTGGTATCCCACTGTCCACCAGTTCATTGGAGGTATATGACAAGTCCAAGAAAATTCTATTTCACAAAGACCTCAAAACTTCCCATCTTAAAGACATGAAGGCTGGTGCATCAAATACAACAATTAAAAAAGGTGCTACAATGACAGCATTATAACACAATTACTCATATATATCATAAAAATGTTGCCATCAACCATTTCAAGTCCTTTTGTATGCCAATATTGAAACTCTAATTTCATACCACGCTTCCAGATTTTTTCATACATAAAAAAACTCGATGAAGTGATATACCTTTTTCCCATATCCCGTATTATAGCATTCTGCAACACGTTGAAAGCCCGAGGCAGCTTTCGTGAAACACGATTCCCAATCTGAATATTTGTGGTCCACAACAAGGCTTTCAATGCAATAAATAAAAGAAAAGTGATCACCCTGCATTTACATGGAAAATAAGTACGAGGTACAACATGTTTGATGATAATAGCTAGACAAGCACCCTATTTACCAAGAAATGAAACTTGTTTTTCTTGCTACCAGATAGGATGAAAATTTTCAAGTGAAACACAAAGAAATATATCACAGCTCCTGTAAATTCTACTTAAAGGCTAGAATAATACCATTTAAATTTCATAGTTTCCCAAACGAAGAAAAATTGGTTACAAATGACACAGACTGCACATGGATCAAAAAAAAAAAAACTTGACAAAGTCTACATCCTAACCTATCATATCATATATTATACTCATAGACCCCAGTCCTGCACAGGCTCAAGCACTCCAAGGATGCTCTCACCAAGCCACCACAACGCAAACTTTCCTTTGGGAGTCACTTTGCTCCTTTTTATCTAGCGTCACACTTCTTTCACCTGATCCAAAAGTCCTCCTTATTATATCAAGCTCCATAAATTTCACCAGCCTACCACCTACTTCACTCATTGAAGAAATAAAAATCCCAATACATGCAACTTCTCAACTCTCTAGAACTCTTACATGTTCTTAAGCTCCTCAGATATATCAAATACATCCAAAAACCCCCCAATGCCAAATCACACTTACTCCCAACTTATTCCATTACTACCATCACAAGATAGATATTTGAACCACCATCTTTAAGCCGAGCTAATCCGGTAATACTAGTTTCCAGGTTTGATTCATACACAAACAGAAGCAACCAAACAGACAGAAACTTATGCAAGTTTTAACGGCTCCCCATGCTTCATTTCAATCAAACATTTCTTCTATGCCAAAGGCTTGAATCTGCGCATTATCAGCAAACAGCAATTCTCTTCCAGATATGACAAACAGGACCCCAACCAAAAGAGAGAATGTAATTGTAGTGTTTTTACCAAATACAGCATGCAGTAACACCATTGCATCCTGTGTGCAAGTTTTTATGGCTACCCATGCTTCATTTCAATCAAACATTTCTTCTGTGCCAAAGGCCTGAATCTCTGCACTATCAGCAAACAGCAATTCTCTTCCAGATATGACAAACTGGACCCCACCCGAAAGAGAGAATGTAATTGTAGTGTTTTTACCAAATACAGCATGCAGTAACACCATTACATCCTGTGTGCAAGTTTTAACGGCTCCCCATGCTTCACTTCAATCAAACATTTCTTCTGTGTCAAAGGCCTGAATCTATGCATTATCAGCAAACAGCAATTCTCTTCCCGAATTCTGAACTGGACCCCACCCAAAAGAGAGAATGTACTTGTAGTTTTTTTACCAAATACAGCATGCAGTAACACAGTTGCATACTGTGTTGAAATTGATTTTTTTTTTCTCTGCAGTGAACATTTGCCAGATTTTCTCTCTATAAGTAGCCTATTATGCTTGGACTTTTATCTACTAAGTATTTTGTTCCTAGTCCTGGAGGCATCCCCTCATAAACATGTACATTTCTATTTTACTTATTCCAAATCCACATTTGCTTTCCTGGCAAAGAACGACACAATGTATCTAAGACTAATAATCCATAACTAATCCTAGCATATTTAATTAATTATCTAATAGTATAAGAATGTTGCCTTTTTTCCATGTACACAGTATTTTTAATTAACTATCTAATAGTATAAGAATGTTGCTTTTATTCCATGTATACATATATTTTTGGCTTCCTTCGAACTTGTCAACTCATAATTTTGATATTATTTTACTGGAAGACTATTCTATGTATATTATTAAAATCCATATTAGAGAACATTAAATGGACTTTTCCCTGATTCTGTTTGTAGTTTTTCTTTTTGTCACTCAACAGCCAACTGCTGCCATGCCTTCTACATCTCTGCTGCAAGATTTTACCAAATCAATTAAAGAAAGAGAAGAGATAGATCTAACTCGCACAGGAAGCATCCAGAAATCACACAAGTCATATAAAGCCAACCATGCTCCTAAAGAAATAAATACATATGGAGTTGCAGATTTTGTTACAAAAATTAATATTAGCATACAAAAAATATAGTAAATATTGAATAACAAAATTTCATAATATTCAACAATAAGAACCAAGACTCTTCATGCTGGTGAAATTAAACAGATGTTATGAAGAGTATATATGCATGGCACAATACGCATATCCATAAAAAACCAAGGTACATGTACACGAGCATTGAGACAGACTTTGGTGAGTGCCAATTTACTTCCAAAATCGGGGAATTCTTACCACGTTAGGCCAGACATCTATAACACATGCTTCCACAGTGTTCAGGAAGCACTCATAGGAGCCATGCTGCAAAAAGGAACAGAATGTAACCATTAATTAATGATCCTCGGAAAGAACAAGTTTGTCTACGACCATTTGACAACTCATTTCCAAGCATTAGAAAAGACAAAGATACAAAGCAACATGGGAAAGAAAATGGAAATGAGAACCATACAAAAACTACATTTTAGCAAAGCATGACCTTCAACCAATAAAATAAGCAAATGACAGATTATATATCATAAAATATGCACATGTAGCCCCCATGTGGCTATGACAATAAAAAGACCCAGTCCATTAAAAAGCTTTCCATAAGTTCTCTAAAATAAGAATAATAATTGAGAGTTAGAACTGGCCATCTGAACCTCAGTCTACCCATCTGATAAGCCAGAGTTATAACCAGAAAGGATCCCAACCTCAATAGAGTTAAGAAACAACAGTGGGTCCAATTTGTCCTAACAAATCATACAAAACAGACTACCAAATGAAGCTCCCTATTGTATCTCCATCTACCATATGAATTTGAACCAGCCTAAACTACCACAAAATAATGGAAGATCAATGCATATAACTTCCAATAAATACATTTCTTCTATAACACACCCCTAACAAATTGTCTAGAGAGGCAGCATGTAGAGAGAGGCTCTCCTGTTGGAGGAGAATCTCCCACACCCTTTGACAGTTGATTTAATTTATCATCTTATTGCTATGATATTCATACGACTTTATCCCTACCTCAGCCTTTGATTTTTAATTTTTAATGACACTTCATTTTAAAAAAAGAAAATAATTCATTTTTAAAAAACAGAAAAGAAAATAAAATAGGACCTGTAAGAGAATTCAAAGTGAAGTTTCAATGGAAAAACAATCTTTTTTTGAACTTGGTTCAGCCGATAAATCCCTGTCCAACAGTTGATTAGATCAACTAACATCGCTAAAATGTCAGAACACATGTATTGGCAATGACCTCTCATTTTTTTAATTAGCTAATCTATGTTTTAATGCATGCATTTCTGCATCTTAACATGGCTCATTTTATACAAAAAGTTGTAAATTTTTCAATGAGAACATTTCCACTTCTTAAGTTTTAGCATGAACCAACTTTATACCGAGTCTTATATTCTCCATGGAATATTACGTAGAACACTGAATTTCTGTTGGCAACCCATCAGGGAAAATTAAGGGGGGTTTTATTTAGATGAGAGAGAGAGAGAGAGTAGCCAAGTATGCAAATCACAATTAGGCCAGCATTATGGAAATAGAAGAAATTTGAATCCAAGTCATATGAAGTTAAGAGAGAGAGAGAGAATAGACCAGGTATGCAAATGAAATTGGGCCAGCATTATGAAGAAAAGAATTTCAAATCCAAATGATACGAAGTTAAAGAGAGAAGGGTAGAGAAAGAGAGCGAAAGTGAAGCACAATAGACATATAATACTCACACATTAATGAAATTTGGTACCAACAGAGAGAGAGAGGCAATTCACATCATAACCAAACTACAGTAAGAGAGAGACAGAGGCAATTCACATCATAACCAAATTACAGAGGAGAAGGAGAGAGAGAGGCAATTCACATCATAACCAAATTACTATGAGAGAGAGGCACAATTCACATCATAAGCAGATTACAGTAAAAGAGATCAACAGAGGAATAAAAACTTAGAGAGAAAGAGAAGAGATGAAACCTGGCAGCTAATTGTGTTGTTGGACCCAATCCACGCATTTCCATAAGGGATGAGACGAAGGTCAACAATGTCAATAAGGCCATTAGAGAACATCTTGCCCAAATAATTAACAACGAACCTGGAGCAGTAAGGGCAAAGGGTCTCATAATACAGATTCAGAGAAACTTTTTCAGCACCCACTGAAGAATTCGGGCTCAAAGAAAATGCCAAGACCACCAGCAAAAGGAGGAATTTTGTAACCGCCATGAAAGACTACAGAGCAGCTCAGAATTCTCCGAGCAAGTGATTTAACCCTAGTTTTTTTTAGAGAAGGAGGGGAAGCCCCTGCCCTTTTTATAGTGAATGTGGCCACTTTTTGCAGGCTTTGTGAAAGCGAGGACTGGAGCTTAGAGAGAGAAAGTAGCAGTCGAGTTTAGAGAGAGAGAGAGATCGGCTTCATGAACACAATGAGGCGTCAGCAGCCGCTGTCAAGTGTGGCTATATCTATCGCGCGTTTTTTTGGAGACGTGTCTCAACAGACGAGAGTGTTTCAATAGGGGGTGGACTGTGCACCAACCTGAATACTATCTCGACCCGGTTTCTATGCATTGAGCCCCGCGTATGTAGAAATGCGTCCCTCTCAATAGATCTATTTTTCAGATGGATTTAAAGGCTTAATTTTTACGGAAATCATGAATATGAAAAAATAAATAAGTTTTAAAATAAAAAATAATAATTTTAATAAGAAAACAATTGGACCGTTAGTTTCTATTGTTTTTATGTAGAATACCTACTTGCATCCATCTTTAAGATGGATGTTTTACACTTTCTGGACCGCATATGTAGAAATATGATCTAGCCTGTATGAAACAATTTTCCATACTATAATTCAAATTTTCATGGACAAGGTTTATGTGGATCAAGCCGACACACTTATTCAATTGAGTGCTCTCTCTAAAATCCATTTTAGAGAGATTTTTTTATTCAAAATTTTGAGGAATGTATAATCCCAACAATTATAAGTGGTAACTTAAAAAAAAAAAAAACTTAAAATAATAATTTTTGACATAATTTTAACATTGTTGATTTAAAAAAAAAAAATGGAGCTATCATTTCCAACATTTATCTCCATGATGGATGGTAGATGCGCTAAGGGATACTACTGTAGAAGTTGTCCCCTTACGCATGGCATACTTTTCCAATGTTTATTCCATGAAACAGGAAAAATTTTATAATGTTGCGACTTTATACTATAGAAAAAAGGCATATCTCAAAAATCCATCATAAAAAGTTGTTCTGATGTTGAAAAACCCCTCTAACTTATCATCTTTGTTAAGATATAAAAATAAAAAAGATTTTAAAGTCTAAAAAAATGGTACATCTTGTAATACATTACCTATCCCATCCATTCAAGATTTTCGATTGTTTGTAGAAACTCTTAATATATGTCATTTTTTTAAGTTTTAAATTTCATAATTAAATATGGAGTAGATTTTTAAGATTGTTGAAATTTTTGACAACACAATTAGATGCGCGCTTTAATTGAATTGTTTAAGTTTGACACCTTATAAAAACCACACCCTTGCACAAAAGATGATGTTTTTACAGGGTACCATGGTGCCACCTTATCTTATTATAAGTAAGGCAAACATCTAAATTTTGGCAAAAGATGTAGTTATGGTGTCGGAAACTTGCGATGACTTGAAAATTCATGTACAACAATAATTATAAAATTTAAAACTTCAAAAATGATGGAGATTGAGCAAATCCATAGAAACCGCAAAATCTTGAAACAAAGGTCCAAATAATATATTACAAGATGATCAATTTTTAGGACTTTAAATTTTTGTTTATACTATATATCTCGAGGTCGAGATTTTTCAGATGCCCCTTACTTCTACAATAACAATATAGTGGTCGTTGTGTATCCAAGAATTTGAGGGCCTAAAAATACTCCTGGATTGGGTTTTACCCAAGGGAGCTGGCCGGGAAAATGCTCAAGCAGGGGCTTAGAATCATTACACAAATTTATTTTCCCTTGAATTGGTGTTCAGAGAGGGAGGAAAATTTTTTATTTTCAAAAATATTTTAGTTGAAAAAGGATATTTAATCCAATATGGGGAGATTTTGTTTTCTATTTCTTAACATAATTTGAAAAATGAAGTTTTGATTAAGTTGACAAAAATATAAAATCAAAGAAACTTAACTTTACAGAAGCTTATCCTTTAAAACTGCAGGATAAAGTCGATCCTACCTTTTCATTGTGGGTTACAACCCACCTTATGAGCAAAATTCATGTATTTTTGGGTTGTGTCTTTTAATGGTGCAAATGTGGCCTCCAATCGAAGAATATTAAATTTATTGTTTCTACCTGTTTACCAACTCTTTCTCCACTACTTGTTAAAGAAATTGTCATGGTTAAGGAAATATATAAGAGAAATGAAATTTCCTCTATATAGAATTCTCTACAAATTTTGAGCTAGTTTTTTTTTAAAAAAAATATTCAGGTAGTTTTTCTTTTAAAAATTTTAAGATACTTTCTATCTCTAAAACTTAAAATTTCAAATAGTTTCTTTCTCTAATTCGTGGAGGTATTTTCAAAGAAATAATTGTATTTGATAAAATGGGCCCCTCCAGTGTGTGAAAATAAACCTGCGGAAATATTTCCCCACCTCAAGAGATATGGTTTTTCACATGAATTCATCCAATTTGTGGTAAAGTTTTTTACCATAGGAAAAAAATTTATATAAATTTTTCGGATGTCAAACGTAACATACTTTTCATATTTTCACAAGAAAATATTTTGTATGATAATATTTCAACATCTACCCAACACGTTCTGAGTTAAAACTGCATGATAAAGTCCATCCTAACTTTTTATACCCGCAAAATTCATGCATTCTCGGGAAGCATCTTTTAATGGTGCAAAAGTGGCCTCAAATCCTAACTCAATTACTGCCCGTAGTTCAGTTGGATTTTGAAATGGAATATTTTTGAGCTGTGATTTCAAAATTATTTTTAAACTGATCATAGGACATAATGAGTTTAGAGAACCAGAAATCCCCCCGTAGTGTCTAACCAGCAAGACCAAATGAACAATTTGTACCAGCAGGAGGATACGATCTTGTTGACCGCGGTTTACGGTACTCCAGGGTCAGAATGGGTCCGATCGGGTCTGGATCCACTGGGATCTAGATTTGGATCCAAAATGTATACATGAGATCCAAAATATTCAGATCCAAATTTGGATACAAAAAGTATGCATGGGATTCGAATCCGGATCCGGACCCTATCGGATCAAAAGACATAATTTTATATCTATAAAATAATATATAGCAAAAACATACTATATAACATATATGTATATATATAATGGAAAGTATACAATAAGACCTTTTACTTTTGGTACACGGATGTCACAATTAATTATAACCATCTGATGTGAAATTTAATAGTTTAGGTGTGTCATAAAGTTCGAGAAAATATCTTTTGAACTTTGAACTTGGCCAATAAAATAAATGCATCCACCCAATTTCACATCCAATCATCGAGATTAATTGTGACCACCTTGTACCAAATGTAACTATATATAATAATTTATGATATTTTAATAACTACATCGGACCAAAACAGATCCACTTGTACCCAGACCCATATACGATCCGACTTACTATTGTAGACACCCTATTTAAAATTTGGTAATTTTATGGTTTTTTTAACCTTTAAAACCACATTATCCTAGTAGATCCAATTTAATTACTCCAAAACTACCCAAATCCTATCCCAATTTGAAGTAGGGCCCAAGATCTTTCCACCGGTTCAAAAATCACCTGAATCGGACCTATGGTTAAAAATATATAATTAATGACAATTTAGTCCCTATGAGACCCAACTGTCGGACCGTGGGCTAGGCTGTAACGGGCTCGACAAGCCCAGACGCGGGGTGATGATGCAGTAAACACGTTTTTTTTAATTGGATAAAAGATAAATTCAAAATTCTGAAAAAACTTTAAATGTTTTTTAAAAAAATCACCAATTGAATTTTATAAATACCCCCTCTCCCTAACCCAAGACGAGAGAGAAAAAGAGACCAAAAAAACTTAGAAATTCCCGAAATTAGAAAAATTATCCAAAAATACCAAAAATAGGAAAAACTCTTAGAAAATTCCTAAAATTTTAAAAAAAAACCTCAAAAAATCCCAAAAAAAAATAGATAAAATCTCAAAATTCATATTCAACCTTTGGAGATCACAAAACCCTTAGAAAACTAAGGAAATTCTCCTTCAGACATCGAGAAAGACCGATAGCTTTAGAAAAATCTCTAGATTGAAAACCCTAAAGAAGATAGAAACCCTAGCCTCTTGAAATCTTAACCCCAAAACTGATAAAACCTATACTTATGACACAAAAACCCTAGGTCAAAACTAAAATTAGGGAACAACAACCTTAGATCTAACCTGTTACACTAGAGATCTGTTGGTCAACATCCGAATCAGATAGGCAAAGATGATCAATTTTGATAGCCCTCGAAGGCTCAGGACATGTCGGTGTTGGAAATTGATTTTAAGGTCATCATGAAGATTTATGTTGCCGAAATTGCTTTTCGGATGAGGATTTAAGGTGAGGCTTTATTTTGTTTATATAAAGCCTAGGCCATGTAGAAACCTTATTCTACAATATATTGCACTGGAGTACGATATAGTTTGCTTGAGAATATTTCACAAACAGCCCTCTCGCCCTCTCTCTCTGGAGTACGATATAGCTTGCTTGAGAATATTTCACAAACAACCCTCTCTCCCTCTCTCTGGAGTACGATATAGTTTGCCTGAGAATATTTCCCAAACAGCCCTCTCTCCCTCTCTCTCTCTCATAATATCTCTGGAGTACGATATAGTTTGCCTAAGAATATTTCATAAACAACCCTCTCTCCCTCTTTCTCTCTCATAATATCTCTGGAGTACGATATAGTTTGCCTGAGAATATTTAACAAACAGCCCTCTCTCCCTCTCTCTCTCTAGAGTAAACAACCCTCTCTCCCTCTCCCTCTCTCATAATACTTAAAACCAGTGGTTTAAAAATTGGCGCGTCGACCCGGAATCGCCCTGGTCGACATGGGAATCGGCTTGCTTAAGCCAGTTCCTGCACAATATTGGAAACCCGGCTCCCGGGTGGACACAGGAATCTTTCGGGTAGACACGGGAATCGGCTTGCCCGTGCTGGTTCTTGCACAATATCGAAAATCGAGCGAGTTTAGAAAAGAATCATCTATTCTTGTAGGAAACTGGGAGGGCCTCTTTCCCTCTCTCTCTCTCTCTCT